AGTCAGCTCGCGACCGCGATCTGACATCCACTAATATCAATACAAATCAGTGGACGTAGGACTTACTACCTTAGCATCCGAACCACTTAAAAAACTCCCTCTACAGTTACTTCACTTTTCATATATTTCATTTTCGCGTGTATCGGACAGCCAATCAACATTATACACGTAAAAATTCGTTGGTGTAAAAATTTAGCATCAACAGATTCAAATGGGGTTCTGATTCATAAGCTTTTTCGCCTTCTTATTCATTGTCGTATGACCTCTTTTAAGGTGCCATGGAATTATGATTTGAGTCTTTTACAAGAACACTCACACGCAGTAGCAATATCACGTATGCAATAGCAGGTGATTAATAATACATTGATAATTCATTATACAAACACTAATGAATTCTTGATGATGGCCCATGCTCCAATGTAGAAAACCGGCGGTTGCTCTGGGGTTTGACTTCTTTTCAAATCAAATTTTATATTTTAGGGCATTTGGTTGGAGGGTTTTACGTAGGATTATTAGGATTATATCATCTTATATTATTTAATTATTGTGTTTAGTTATCAAGTAATATAAGATATTGGTAATCTTCAAATACCAATAGTAATTACTATTGAAAGTAATATGATTACTTCTATTTTCTTAGGTATTTTAAGATTATCAGGGTTATTTTTTTTGTTACAATTTTATTCCTTATTAATAAAAAATTTGGACAATAATACCCCTATTTTAAAACAAATTTACATTGATATCTTATTTCAATTTTACCCTTGTTTAATAAAAAATTTGGACAATAATAGATATGGCTATAAATGGCCAGATCTATTCTGGCCATTCTCAGTTAGATCAATGGAACTGGCCATTAACTACCAGATCCATAGCCATTAACGGCCATATCTAGTCGAGATCTTGTCTTTAACGGCCACGGACGTGACAAGATCTCGACCAGATATGGCCGTTAATGGCTACGGATCTGGCAGTTAACGGCCAGTTCCATTGATCTAACCGAGAATGGCTAGAATGCCGTTAACGGTCAGATCTATTCTGGCTGGCCGTTAACAGCCAGATCTTGCCCAGATCTGGCCGATAATGGCCGTTTTCAGCCATGAATATAGTAAAAAACGACCATATCGGAGCCTCTTGGTCACGGTGAGCTACACGGGGACTTTCGGAGACTTTCGACGATGGTTTGTGATGGCAGCAAGAGATGGGGGTGGTTTCATCATAAATTAAAGTTTTACATAAACGGGGTGTTTTAACTAAATCTAAAATATTGGGTGTTAAAAGAAATTATTCAAAAATTAACAATAAAAATAATATTATATTAATATTTAAAAAAGAGACAATTTAGTAATTTAAATAACATACCCACTAATTTATTCCTTAAATAACATATCCACTAATTTATTTCTCATAACCAAACATATTAATATAATATACTCACTAATTAACCAAACACATTTTCTTAAAGATTCTTAGTAATCTTCAAGGTAATCTATCTTTCTAGTAATCAAATATTTTTAGTAATCTAATATTCTTGGAACCAAGCGTCCCTTCAAAGCAAATGAAACAATTCTTGTGTCTCTTTCTTGGTTCTTGTTTTCTTCTTCTTCTCTGTACGCCTTTTCAAATCAGAAGTTTTTTTTACCTTCTTCTTCATTTTCGTATGATCTCTTTTGAAGTAACATGAAATTATGATTTGAATCTTTCACAAGAATACTCACATTTAGTAGCAATATCACGCATACAATAACATGTGATTAACGGAGCTTTATTATTATTATCATTGGGAAGCTGAAGGGGAGAGCGAAAAGTTGTGAAAGAGGTGACTGATGATATTATTGATAAATTGATTATATAATTACATACCACTATCATATCCCTATTTATAATAGTTTTTGTAAGCAATTAATGAAACGATTCTATATCCTTTACGCAAACCAAAAATTTCTTAAATTAAAATTTTATAAACAGAAATTAATAAGCTGTCACGCATGCATTTACTTCAAAAATTTTGTTAGAGAGTTTTTGATATTTTTTAACGGGGTATTTAATGATAATAACGGTATATCATACTTATAAAGAATCGCAAATGCATTTCATCATCTATATATTTATTTAAAAATTAAAATTTTATAGGAATGTTTAGGTGTCAAATAGATATAAAAATGTTTGGATGTTATCTAATGGTCTTACAAATTACATGATATACAATGCCCCAATCTTATATTATTCGAAAGTTTATCTATCATATACAGTACCATCTACCATCAGGGTAAATAAATGGCAAAAATTTTCAAATGTTAACGGGGTTTAGTAATCTACCTTAATAGTAATTTTTGTGTGATTAAAAAGTAATTAAAGAGGAAGAAGTAAAGTTTGTGATTAATATATATATAGACAAGGGTATTTATTAAGATAAATTTAATTTCAATAACAAAAAAATTATTATTATTATTTTAATATCTAAGCAGTTTAATTATGGCAATTGTCTCAGGGTCGGTAGGCGGTCGATTCGTTCTTTATTTATTTAGTTATTCATATATATTAAACAATTAAATTGCATTTTAGAGAGGAGCTCTTGGAGAACTCTAACAATCATACTGTGACAGAGTAAGAGACTTTTGCCTTCAGGCTCTTCAATTTTTTGGCTACCTCCGTACCTCGAGTTTGGAAAAGTCAGAGGGACAGCAGACGATTAATGGGGTATATTATCATTATCTCATTGGGAAGCTGAAGGGTTTGGGGGCAAGTGAAAAGTTGTGTTACACACTAATGGATTAAATATATAATTAAATGGATACTGTTGTTTTAATATTTTCACTCTCTCTTATCTAAAATATATATTTATTTTTCCATTTTAATTTTATTCTACTATTTTTACACTTTTTAAATTTATTAATTTAATTAAATAATTTTTAATAAAAAATTAACAAGAACTCTCCTCCGTTCACATATTTCTGAAAGCCCATGGCCGCATACGAGTATTTAATTGACAGGTGAAAATGTTTTTATTAATTTTAAAATTTTTATTATAAAAAATGTTTAACTAAATTAAAAAATATAGATGATTAAAAAATAATTTTATCGAACACATTTTCAAATTCAAATATTCCTTTCATAATAATAATAATTCAATTCAACTTTTAAAAAAGTATTACCCATAATAATAAAACAAACGATAATTATTTAAGAACACAATTCAAAGTCTCATAGACAGACTTTCAAGAAAACATAAATCCGAAAGTAAGAACTCACATGTTTTAGATGGCAATAATGCTTGAGTTACCAATTAAATTACCGACTGAATGAGTTAAATTTTGAGATTTGGGTAATTGGACAGGTCGGTCGGTATGTGAAAATCGATAGCTTAATCGGTAAGTGTAGTATTACTGTTTAGATGGACAAAACATCCATTCACCTGTGGCGAATAGTAGCGTAGTCAAATTTAAAAATTAGTTCAAATCTATGTACTATTGGGTTAATTTTCACATTTTATCAAACTAAATGTCATAAATTTTTTTTTTTAATTATTTTAACAATACAGTCACTTCATTCCACATTTGTCCTAAAATTAAAAAACACCCCAATTTGATTGCATAGTAAATTTATAAATACTTAAAATTATATATTTAACATTTTATAAAGTAATGATTATTAATATTTGAATGAAATTCTTTCGTAACTATGATTATTAAGAATAATAAAACATGTAAAAAAAAATTTATAACTCAAATTTGTGGATGCCAGATAATTTTTCAAGGAAAAGAAAAATGATGTGTAAATACTTAATTAAAACTATATATGCTTTTTATGTAATTTTAATAGAGAATAATATTGTAATTTAACAAGTTATCAAAATGGGGTCTTTTGCAAAATTTAGTAGGAGCCAAATACCATTATTCTAATTTTATTCACCTCCCAAGAGATAACCAAGACTAGTGATTTTTAGTAAGTATTAACCAAAATTTCTGAAAGTCATATAAAAAATAATCGCAAAACCCTTTATAATATATCAAACAACCCTCTAAAAATATAAAAGAAAAAACCTCTTACAAATATAAAAAATCCCTTTGGGCAGGGGGGTTTTTAATACTTTTCTTATATTTCCATTGGTTATAGAGTTTTTTTTGGGTGTCCTTATTTCTTCCATTTTTTTGCATATATTTTTTTAAACTAGGCTTATGCATAAATATAATTGAAGAGTTTTATTTGCGGGAATTGTGGCGGTGTGTGTGAGAGAAGAGTTTTTAATTATGAGGACGTCAGGTTACTTTTCGAAGATACACTAAACCTGTCAAAATCCTACCAAATATATTTCGAAGATTGAGAAATTTTCAATGGGGGTGAATTTCAAGAAATGGCAAGAGAAATTCTTCAAAACCTTGGACATTGTGAACTTGATAGAACTCCTTACCCTACCATTGAACACATACATTATTTCACTGAATTACCTTTACAGTATGCAGACGTATATATAACATATATAAGAGGCATTCTAGGAACGTATACGATATTGTACACTAATTTAAGCTATGCATAAGGTTAACCCACAATGTATATGAAGTCAAATACAAAAGAGGTGATCGTAATCCCTACAATTACTATGTTATATTGTTGATTGACAACTCACACCAACACTCCCCCTGATTTGTCGAGTGAGTTGTAGAATATTTTACTGGAAACAACCTTAGTAAGTGTATCTCCTAGTTGATCTTCAAACTTGACAAAAGGGAACTGAACTATCACATAACAAATTCATCATAAAACCAAATGGATAACCAGGGGCAGACCCAGCCCTTAGGTGTAAAAAATTGTTAGGCCCACAAAAATAATGTAAAACTCAAGCAAATAAAAGGTGATCAGTAGGGATTATCTAGTGGGCGGCTCGAGGAACTTTGACCGCATGGGCTTTTGTTTTCCCTATAAACCTCCGCACAAACCCTAGCCCTACACCTTCCATTGTCAATTCAATTCCTCTTGCATCTCCTAATCCCCGTTTCACAATGGCACCCAAGAAGCCAAACCCCATGGAAGAACTACCAGCTTCCTCCCCCGAAGGTGAAGAGATTTCTTCTGATGAAGTTACTTCCTCTGATGACGAACAAACTGAAGAACCCACAAAACCTTCTTCTTCTCCTCAACAAACCCAGAAACCAACCCACTCTGTAGCTTCTGCCCCTATATCCAAATCCTCTAGCTCCGAAGAAGATTCCGAATCTGAGTGCGACTCCGAATCAACTCCTAAGCCTATTGCCACCAAACCCATGGAAGCCACCACTTCAAAACCAAGGTCGAAAGCTCCGGCAAAACGCCCCAATGAGACGCTCAAGAAGCCAAACCCCATGGAAGAACTACCAGCTTCCTCCCCCGAAGACGAAGAGATTTCTTCTGATGTAGTTACTTCCTCTGATGACGAACAAACTGAAGAACCCACAAATCCACCTTCTCCTCCTCCTCAACAAACCCAGAAACCAACCCACTCTGTAGCTTCTGCCCCTATATCCAAATCCTCTTGCTCCGAAAAAGATTCCGAATCCGACTCCGACTCCGAATCCGAATCAACTCCTAAGCCTATTGCCACCAAACCCATGGAAGCCACCACTTCAAAACCAAGGTCGAAAGCTCCGGCAAAACGCCACAATGAGACGTTGGAGTCTCTAAAGGACTCGAAACGGGCGAAGAAGAAGGAAATGGGTGCGGATCCGGATGAGGAGGATCAGAAGAAGCCGGGAGAGGATACGAAGAAACTGCAGCCTTTTCAAAGGGTATGGAGCGACGAGGATGAAATTGCTGTATTGAAGGGGTTGATTGACTTCACCACAAAAAAAGGGATGGACCCGTATCAAGATACGAATGCGTTTCATGATTTTATCAAGAAGTCGCTTCACGTGGAATTTACTAGAATTCAAGTGAAGGAAAAGATTAGGAGATTGAAGAAGAAGTATGAGAACAATCTTGGGAAGAAAGGTGAAGATACGACTTTCTCGAAACTCCATGAACAAGAAGCTTATGATTTGTCGAGAAAGCTATGGGGCAATGGAAGTACTAGTAGTGTCTTTGAATCTGTGGCAAAGTCTAACAACAAAGCAAAAAAGAATCAAAACCAGAAAGGGAGTAGTGAGTCCTTAGCTTTTTGCAAAGCTGATTTGAATGATGGAGCTAAAGGGACGAAGATGGATATTGATAATGATAAGAAAGGGAGCCTGCATTTGTTTGATACTGGTTTGGAGGAGTTTGTAATCAACCAGGGTTTAGATATGATTGGAGGAGCCAAAAAAGCGGAATTGGAGGAAAGGTGGAAGAAGTTGCAGATTGCTCAGTTGCAGTTGTTTGTGGAGCGGACTGATCTGATTAAGGAGCAGACTGAGTTGGTTTTTCGGGCCATGAAATCATTCGGTCACTAGGTATAATTTATATTTTTTGTGGTGGTGGTTTTGAGAATTAATTAAGCTATTAGGATGACACTTTTGCTTAGCTTTATAATTTGACCCAACTTATTGGAAAGTTCTTGTTTACGCAAGTGAATTTGCAATTATAATTTGTTATTGCATTCAGTAAAGCTTAAATTGTCTTACAAGCAAAGTAGCGGCTTGATCAATGTGCAGTTAATTATGGGGTAATGTTATGGGATTTGATTGATTTTACTAATCAGTGTACTAACTTAAAGCATAGTGTACTAACTTAAAGCATAGTGATAAGTTCTGAGTTAAATTTTAAATAAGAGGTATTTAATTCAAGTTATTTACAAAATTTTAGTTATCTGGATACTGAAATGGAAATATCTTCAAATGTATACTTCACTGAAAGAGTAAATTATCTTGAAGCCTGATTGGGAAGTGAACACTGTTATGATATTAAACATGCTCTGCATAATGTAGCGTTTTTGTCTTGAATAATACTTTGCCGTATTACCGGATTTTATTAACCAGTGTATTAACAGATTATATTAATCAGTGTACTAATCTTTGTTAAAATCACATAAAGTATCTGTTATATGTATATAATATTTATACTATATTTTAAATTAGTACACTGATCAGTAAAATATCCATATTACTCTTTTGTTTTATATGTTTTAATGCTGTTGCAGATTCTTTGTATTTGATTCTCAAATATTTGTTCCCAAGATGATTTTATTGAGTCCTCCATATTAACTACTCAGTCGTTTTAGCCTGATAAATTTGTTCCAAAATGAATGTCGTTTGGCCAAATGCAATCCTCCTCTCTCTTTCCCAGTTTCGCTCACCCCTCATCTCCTCTTTCTCTTTAAAAGCCATTTATTTTTCATCAATCATCATTGTCATTTCCCACGCACTTTGAGCAAAGGGAAAAAAATTTTACATTAAAAAATTAATTTATTAAAGAACGTGCAATGACTCTCGGGAGGGAGTAAAAAACAATTGGGGAGAATTTATAAATATGTTCTTTATTTTACTCTAGATTTGAAATCTTTTTATTATCTTCTATTTGTAAAGTTGACAATTCCAAGAACACTTCAAAAACTAACATAAACGCGTTTTGCTTGATTCAAGTTCTTGTAATTTTTTGTTATATGATTAGTTTTTTCTGTTTCTTTTTTAATTTAAACAATGTAAACATCAATAGTTTTCTCAAATGTAGAGATCGAATGGAGTTGTGTTTGTTTTAGGTTTAGAAGGATATGAGATCTAAAAATTAATTCATGATATAAAGAAGAACTGTTAAGTAATTTTGATAATTATTATGAGCTTCAATTTACTAGTGAAATTATGATTTCTTATTGACCTAAATTTCATTTATTTTTTTGGTAACTAAATGTATAAAGCTTTGGAATTAAAGTGTGAATGAAGAAGAATAAAACATTTTATTACAGTTATACCCTCACCTAAAGTAAAAGATTGGGCTATAGAAAAAACTAGTGGAGGCTAAAAATCATTTCCCTTAGAAATAAGGTAATTGGAGAATGAAGTTTTATTCAATTCATAATTGATAAAGCAAGTGAATTTATTTAATTAATTATTTAGTTTTGTATTCTAAAAAGTATATGAAATTATCAATTGAATCAAGTCAATTAAATTGAATTGAGTCAATTTGATACAGTTATTCTCAATTCTTTCGAATATAATTTTTATATTTTAAAATAATTAACCATCTTTTTAAAAAATTTAAACAAATTTTTTTTTTTTTTTTTTTTTTATAAATAAATTGTTATTTGTAAAGTTACAAAGAAACTCCTATATATGCTAATAAATGACTGTATTTGACTATTTAAGAAGATATTTGATTTGATTTGAATTGTTAAAATAAGCAACAATTTTTGAAGTCGAAAGAGGGATTTGGCTTATCTTTTTCAAATCAAATTTTTAATTTACAAAGCAAATGAAATGATTCTTGTTTCTTGTTTTCTACTTCTTCTATGTACTCCTTTTCAAATCAGAAGCTTTTTCGCAATTATTATTTGAGTCTTTCACAATAACACCCACATGCAATAGCAGGTGATTAATGGAGCTATATCATTATTATCATTGGGAAGCTGAAGAGTTGTGTAGCACACTAAATTATGATGGATATTGCTGATGAAAGCCCCGGCCTATTTTGAATACGGGCTGGCGGTGATAGTCATACAAAACGTAAAAAGCAATAGATGTTTATAATAACAAAAGCAATCAACAAAACACAATTCAACATCTCTTAAAAATGTACTTTAATTCAAATCCTTAATGAAAAAAATAAAATCACGAGCTTATACTCTGATATTTCATCGTAAGCATCCAAGAAAAACTTTATTTGGTTCTTTACAGTCTCCGCTCTCTTCAAGTTCAGTTTCATCTCCAATTTTTCAATCTCCCTCAACTTCATTACATACGTTCCTCTATTCCTCTTCTTCATAATTTTCAGTCGTTCCTTAATCACCTTCTCTGTTCATGAAATTTCCCCATTTCCTTCGAGCACATCTCACTCGTTGCATCAGGACTTGGAAATCTTCCCCATATTTGTTTGGACAAACTCAATATTTTGTTCTCATGGGGATCGCAGATTGAAACAATCTCCGCCGGCGCCTTAATCAAACTCCCTCTGTAATTGTTCCTCATTTGGAGTAGTTTCTTCATCAACTCATTTTGAGTAAAATCAATCACTGTTTGTGTTTGTTTTATGAATGCATAGAAGTCAGTCAGGTAAGCCGAAGGATTCAGACCTTTTGTGGAGAATTGGATCACTGCGTTTAAGATTGAGATCTCTTGGTCTTGACTCCATGATTTTTTGGGTGTGGTTGTGAGAATGTGAGTGGGTTCCATGAAGAAACTGGATTGATTGTTGGAATGGGAGATAAAGAGACTGATTAAAGGATGAAGCTACATGGAATATTTAATTCTCCTTTTCCACCATCTCTCCCTTGTGCTTTTCCTGATTCACATATGGATCATGAAACAACTACGACAACGTATTACTCACGTTCCATCCAAAAAGGTGGTAACTATTTTTACAATATAATTCTTCAACGAAGTAAAATTATTATCGCAGTTAATCTACATATATATTCAATAAAATTTTATTATATAGTCTGTAATACGTTTGACCTTGTTTTGAGTTGATCAATTTCAAGGAAGCCAAAACCATAAAAACTAATTAATCAAAGTACTGTATATATTATTTTTTTTTTTTTTTTGGGATTCTAATTTGATGCATAGGATGCCATTTGAATAGTGTAATCTAAAATCTAGCAGATTGAGATGGATATTTAAAATTTGTGGAAGAAGATGGATTGGGTTTACCAAATACCAACTCAAATATATTGTTAAATAAATCTTTCCCATATCACCTGTTTGATTTATTCATTTCTTTTCGTTAGATATAAATCGTATTCTCAACCATTTTTTCAAAGCCAAAAATTCATATTTAATTTTATTATGGCCGTACTAAATTTCTCTTGGTCTCAACATTGTAAGTCAATTTGTGATGACTGGCCATCACGGATTTAATTTTTGGATCCAATATCAGCATAATATTATCTTTAATTAAAAGTCTTTTTCATTTGTCAAAAACCATTTAAATGATGCTATATAGTAATCATAAGTGTGAATGAATTTGTCCAGGTTTGATAGTTTAATTACCAATGGATTTCTTAAAAAAAAAAAAAAAAAAAAAAAAAAAATCGAATTACTAATTTTTCAACTTTAAATTTTTTGTTTTGGTAAGTAGTTTTTTTTTTTTTCAAATTTATATTAGATATGTATGACAAGGATGTGCCAGAAATCAAAACCAATAACTTAGAGAAGTCCTTGCTCCTAATGCTACATGAAGAAATACATCCAAACTTCAAATTGCTAATACCCAAATCAATGAACAATAAAAACCTTAAGCCCACATTCTTATCCCAACACTAGTTAACAGTTATAAAAAAGTGCCATAGAAACGATAAAAAAGCCTCCATTAATCTCTAAACATAAATCATCATTGGAAATTGTTACAGTCATGAAAGTGACTCTATTTTGGTGATAAAAATATCCCATGTGTGATTAAATTGAAGTATATTGAGACAATTAAAGAATTTATGAATTTATTCACGAAAATCGCTTCCTAATATTTTTCTTATGAATTTAATGTGTTTTGAATGATTTTGGAAAGTATATGAGTTGATATTAGGTTGTGGTTTATGGATTAAGGGTGATTTTGTCTCATTTATGCTGTTTAGGGGGTAAAATGTCATATTTTAAGGGGCTGATTTTGTCACTTTTCAATTGTGTGGGGACAAAAAATATTTTGCAATTTGTTCTATAAAAGAAAGCTGCAGTTCGCGTGATCCGGGGCGCTGTTCATCATCTTTTTCGGAGACCCTTCGTCTTCCATTTCTGGCGACTCTTCGTCTTCCTCGTGCAGAGAGCTTCAACATTCTGTCAACGCCACCGCAAGCCACCACCGAGAACCATCACGCAGCGATGTTTCATCTTCTACCATCGCGACTTTTCGTCTTCCAGGCGAGATTTTTCCCTTTTTCGGCGACGTTCCAGCTCCCCAAGGGTCGATCCCCCTTCCCCACGGCCGGATCTATACTTCCCTAGCTTCAGCCGCTGCGAAAACCGTCGGAATCCGCGATTTTGCCGCCGTGCCTCTTTATCTTTCAGGCCAGATCCTGCTCATTTCCGGCGACTTCTCACCTCCCCAGGACCTGATCTGAACTCCCCATCACCAGAGCTTTCCATCGGTACCTTCGGATCCCATTTCCGCCATCGTTTTCCAGAAGACCCGCTGGAAAATTAACGTTTTCCGACGAAGTGCGGCTGTTCGTATTCCGGGCTGTCCGTATTCCGGGCTGTCCGCTGGTCGTTTTCACCCCTTCTTCGCATCATATCGCTGTCGGTTACTTCCTCTCCGCCATAGTCAGCTTTGTTTCCACTGTTTCGGCCTCCGTCATCACCACCATGAGCGGCTAAGTTCCCGGTTGTCTGTTACGGCATAGGCGAGATCGGGATTGACTCCACGACTCTCCTCATCAACTCTCGACTAGTTGGATGAGCCCGATTTTAGGACATTTGGTAGTATTGTGCTTCGGATTATATTTGTTTTCGTTTCATGTTTGATTTCGATACTTTAATATGATTTGAGCATAACTTGTGATAAATATTGCTCTCCATTATGATTTAATGTTTTCATAGAACTTGCTGAATGATAAACGTTGGTTTGGAATAATTAAATGATGAATATTGCTTTTCATTACTTCGCATCGATTGTAATTGAGTTGTGTTCGGATTTAATTTAATTTCTACTATTGTTGCGTTTATTGTGAAATTGGTTGATTGGATATTACATGTTGACATATTGTGTTTGTTAATCGCGTACCAACTAGTGGTATTGCCTTGTAGCGTTTTTCGATGTTCAATGATAGTCTTTAACTAATCGAACTTGAGTGATCGGGTAAAACATAATAGATTATACCTAGAGTGTCGGGAAGCCATTTCATTGATTTACCTTACCTTGTAGGTTTAAGGGATTGTAGAGGGTGGAGGAGAATTGTGTGAGTCGCTCTCGTGTCGAACCAAAACCGTAACGGCAACAATTTTTATTATAAAGTCTTTATTTGTTTTAATTTCACTATTTCATTATTTGCATTTAGTCTATTTAGTTTCATCAATCATTTTGCCAATTTCATTTCCGCTACTTAAAATACATTAGGTTGTTAGTCTTGCTCCCTGTGGATTTGATCCTGCTTATCGCTACTACGGTATTTAAGTTTAATTTTTAGACCGTGACGATCGGTCTAACAGAAGTACAAAACAAACAAACTTACTTATAGGACTTGTAAACATCTAAGATCATACTTATATTAGTTTGGGCTAATTGTGCCATCCTCATGTTAAGCTCCAACTGCAAAATATCAATTGCTTTAAACTTCTTGTCAAATTCAGGTTTTTGCATTTCTGCCACAAAATCCATCCCTTCAATAATTTTCATATTGGTGCTACCATCAACCCCAGGCGAAGGAAGAAAATCAAATGTTGTTTGAATATTCTCCTGGACTAGTCGTGCTTTTTTCATGTTAATCTCCAATTGAGAAATATCAAGGGCTATCCACTTCTTGTCAAGCTCAACTCTCTCTACATCTCCTACCAAATCCATCGCTTCTTCCATAATTGTCGAATATGGTGTAATAGGAGAGCTGAAGGTTTCAACAAGAGCACAAACAATAGAACCAGCGCCCCAAATTCTTTTGGAAAGCCTAAACTTTTTCTTCTCATGCAGACTAAAACTGGACTCGTCCTTGTTCAAATTATCCTTGAACTTTCTTTTCATTTTCTATAATTTTGCCTTTAATTGGTGTTCAGTATAATTTCCTTTAATTGATTTTTTCATATGAGCAAAGAAGTGTACCATGTTGGAAGCATAATCAATCCCTTTTTCAGCTGAGAATCTGATCACACCCTTCAAGATAGCTCTCTCTTGGTCCTCACTCCAAATCCTTTGAAATGCGTTTATTTCAGCGGGTCTATATTCTTCGTCATCTTCCTCATCTTCAGATGTGTCTTCAGCGGGTTTATATTGTTCATCGTCTTCCTGATCATCTTGAGATGCGTCATCCCCATAAATTTCTTCTATATCTTCTTCTTCTCAATAAGACTGGGACTGCTTCCTTGGTGCCATGAATATTGAGGTGATTAAAGACTTATTCTACGAGATAAAAGAGACTGATTCAAGGTTAGAGATAGATATAGCTATGTATTAAATAAATAACTTATGTCAATTAGCTAAATTGACATGACCCATCCCGACCCTCCTTATCCCATAGGCTCCAGATGCACCCACGGGACTTGGGTGACCAAGACGCGTCATGTGAAAAATCTGTTTTCTGAAAAAAAAAATCCCATATGAATCCCTTTTTTTCTAAATTTTACTCATAAAAGTGCTTTCATATATAATAAAACGTAAGCATATATTGAAATCCCGGAATAGGAAACACAACATCTAAGTTCTTCCAATTTTTTTTTTTTTTTTTTTTTTATAAGATTTGAACTAAAACATGTGGTATCAGGCCTCGATGTCAAAAACAAAGTACGGATATTTACATGTACAAAAATAGGGTTCCTTGTAATAAAAAAAAAAAAAAAAATGATACACATAGAAATCATCGATGTGTAGCCCAACTTAGAGCGTAGAGAAGCTCCGCATTGATCCTGGAGGCAATCCTAGGGAAAAAAATTTAAAAGGGTTAGCTAAACGAGCCCAATGAGTGGATAATAATAGGTTTTATAGAGGAATAATACTTTACTTCATCAAGCAAATATTTTAAGACCGAATTCACACAAAACACAAGACATAATATCATGAGAATATATGATAATGCGCAATGGATAAATTATCACCACAACACTCAAGAACATTTAACATCCACCACCTTTGCAAGTGCCCCTAACACAGCTGGAGCCACTGAATGTCAATCACTTGCATTAATTATTTGCTCACTTCATGTGCACATTGCACATTTGCATTAGTTAATTGCCCACTTTGTGTGTGTGTTGCACACTTGCCCACTTCGTGTACATGTTACACAACACTCGCATTTGGCTTACCGATTCACCTCATGTGTCCTGTTCACACACTTGCCTTGGTTTTTTCGCCCACTTCGCGTGCCAATTGCACGCTTGCCTTGGTCACTACATTGAGGTCTTATATACACGCAGGACATCACCAATTTCTAGCCGGGGAGGGGAGGGGATGGGTACTTACAAAAAAACTTAAATATTTGCATACCACGGCCAGCTAAAATTTGCACAATACCCAAATGACTAAATCATATACAAAACAGCATCTATAAGGTAATACGGATGCAACCATTTCTCTTCAATCAACAAAAGTCATTTTCCATTCAACCGGCAACCATTTAAAAGGGCAAACATACCAATGTATGATGCTATACTCACCTATATGTATATAGATAAAAGGAAAGTTAAATTATTTAACAATGAACAAACCAAACTCAATCTTCCCCATAACATACAAATCTACATATATTTTTGTTTACTTATTACTGAAAACTTCCCATTCTTCAAGTCAGCCGAAACCAACTCCTCTCTATGTTATCAATCACACCTCAATTGATCATTTTCAGCAGCCTTTAATTCCATGTGAACACCGTATACATATACATGCAACAAGCAACATAAAAATCAAATTTTCAAAACCCCAAGCTACTGCAAAATCACCCAAACTAACCAACCACCAACACATTTCAATTTATCTCTACAAGACAAAGATTCAAACTAAACAAGTATCACACCCAAAAACCAATAGTTGGCAATAACTCAACCCAACACTTGCCAAGCAGACCGCCAGCAATTAAACAAAATTATACCATTAATAAAACTTTCCAGCAACCGAAATGCACATGCAATATACCATTCACAATTTTAATTTAATCATTAATTTGTATACATGCACAAATGCAGGAAAATAAGGAATGAAATACGTTTGAAAATCATTTCAATATATATTCCACTCACCCACAAAACCTTCTCCTTTACTTGATCAAATTAAGGCTCGGGTTCCTTCTCTCCTTCACCTAATTATTTCATTTTTTTTTTTGCAAAATATCAGCAAATTCTCAAGGAAAGAAAGAATAAGATATAAAAATAAGCTTGGGAAATGAATGTATGCATGAAATCCCAACTTGCCTCTTCCTACCAAAGAATCAATTTTTCTTATCTCTCCTCTAAAAACCTCTCGGCACTCCCCTCTCAACTCTCCAACTTGCTTTTTCTTCAAATTTGCAAATGAAGAGCTAAGATGAGCAAAACTCTTTCCTCTTTCTCTCTCTCTCCCCTCTCTTTTTCCCTTTCCCGTTTACTAAAAATTTTTGGTCATAAACTTCGCTGAAACCATGGGCTACAACTCTGCATTTTTCCCTTTAGTCCACCTTAATATGGTAAATATTTATGTACCATAAAGGTTTCAGTTGTCACAATTCGTGCCCCAAAATCATATAATACAACTTTGCTAAAGTTCAAATCACACCCTGACAAAATATCATGCACCCTATTTGACCAATTATCACCACCACCCCTCATCTTTTGGAAAATTCAACACGCCGCCTCAAAATTGGCACTCCTTAAACGCATTCTAACGCTTCTACCTTGACACCACAACAACCCATGATTTTTTTTTTTGAACTACCCCCTTAATATAAATAATTGAATAGCAGGGTATTTCATAAATAAATGAACATATAATATTAACATTAAACAATCAAAAATCTGTTTTATGTTTATGTGAAAATTTAATCAACTATGATTTTTCCCTTTAAGCAATTTTAAAGGCCATAATAAACAAAAGGGAAAATTTTCTAAAGGCCATACTTTCTCCAGAACAGACACGAACCCATAATCTCAAAATTACACAATGCTGAGAACTCAAAGAAGAATGTTTTGCGATAAACAAAACCCGCCATAAAAATGCAAACTCGAAAATGTTGTGTATATTACTTATAATCTAAAGCCAAAAGAAAGATGCACCAGGCACACAACAAACATATTACTTATAACCTGAGCATTTATTTAACCATTGTTTGAGATTAGGGGAAAATGTACCCAAAATGAAAAGACATAAAAACAAAACCTACTACTAAAATAAACTGAAAACAAATGGCAGAAATAAAAAATTATATAAGTTTTGACGAGTAAATCACCAAAGAACTAATTTTCTGAAATGGTAAAAAAGAAAATACCAGATTGCTTCTCTTTGCTCCACAACTACTAATTTTCTGAATTGTCTGAAATTAGCAAAAAAACCCAACAATGAAACGAAGAAATAGAGAGAAGAAGAAGTTTTAAGTTCAAAGTTAAGGTTTGGTTGGTGAGATAATTTATGAATAGCATTGGGAAGGTAAGCTTATAAAAAGCATATTACTAATAACCTGAAGCATTTATTTAACCATTGTTTAGCAATTGTGGTGCAGTTGTACTTAAAATCTCGCATGTTAACACTCAATTTTAAAAATAAAATAAACCATATAAGAATTATATAAAATTCAAGAAAATTGTTACAAGAAACACTTATAGATATAGTATATCTACATGTAAAGCATAGTTGCCTTCCACAAGGGGAAAGTTCCTGACACTGTAAATTGATAAGATTAAATCATTTATTAGTGCAAGTATCTATAACAACAATATAAATTGATAAGATTTTGGAAAAGTAATAAAAGTTAATGGTTTGTGTGATTTACTAAGAAGTTAATAGTTTCAAAAAACCTGAAAATTACAAGGTTAAAAATGTAAAGAAACGTACATCTAAAGTATATAGAACCTGTGTATTCATTGGATATTAAATTTCTTAATTAAGCATGCAGAAGAGTTGTTTGTTGCGTATGCCATTAGGCGAGCACGCGTCGAACTTCAATTTGGAGAAGCCAATTTGCAACCATGGCTTATTTATGATGGCCCCAAATTGTTGGAATCCTTCTACTAAATCTTTCCAACCTCCTTTACGACTGACGAACGCTACAGATTCTGTAAATGTTTCCGTTTCACATCCTACTGGACAAGACTTTCTTGTTATTCATGTTTATGATGTTGAAATTCTCTCATCGGAAGATCGGCGAACTATCATGAATCAAATAGTAAGAATGCTGAGGATATCCAAAAAGATGAGAGCGACTTGAGGGAGTTTCATGCAATTCATGCAGAAGCAAAACATCAAGGATTCGGTTGACTTTTTCGCTCATCTTCTCTCTTTGAAGATATCATCAAATCTATTCTCCTCTGTAATACCACGTAAGTCTCAATTTCTTTATGTATAGTTAGATTATTTTTATACCATTGTGTTCAGTTTACAAGAATATTCAAGTACGTATTTAAGTTTATAATATATAAACCGTTGGATAGGTGGAAGCGGACATTGAGAATGGCAAGCGCTCTTTGCGAAATTGAAGCAGAATTAAGTGGTAATAAATTAAAAATAATGGAAAACTTTTCAAGCTCAAAAGAAATAGTGAGCTTAAAACAAGAGTTTTTGAAAAAATGTTGTAAACTTGGATATAGAGTTAACTATATTCTTCAATTTGTGGGAAAAATCGAAAATGGGAAAATCAACCTTCACAGATATAAAGAAGGAGGAGTTTCCTGCAAGCTACTTTACAAAACATTGAAGGATAATAAAGGGTTTGGTCCATTTGTATGTGCCAATATTTTGTTTTGTATTGGATTTTATGAGAAGGTTCCAACAGATTCCGAGACTATCAGACATTTGAAAGAGGTTAATTCCATTATTTAATTAAGAACATAAATTAATCACATCTTTAA